ATTGTAACTGAGAGCTGCATCTGCAGATGAAGATCATATGCTGATTTACGCAAGAAAAAGGAGTATCAAATGACAGACTTCCATGCCTGTAGAAATGCAGTGTGCATAGCATGTTACAATACGGAAAGCAAAATGTTGCTCTTGATTTGTCAACAAACACATATCAATATCTCTTAACATTAAGACATTCATAGCTATCACAACTAATTATATTATTTTATTTTTCCAGCAATAAATGCAACACAGAAGCAACAAAGCATCCATTAAAAAATGTTCAGTTTACTATATCTGAATTATATTGCATAACAAGAGATATAACTATGCTAAAGAAAATTAAATTCATTCTTTTACTGGTTGCAGGTGGGATGTATAAACAGAAATTCATAGGGATTCACAGTACTAACTGTAAAAGCAATGAACAAAAAGAATGAGCTTTGCTAGCTCATTTTTTCCACACTGATGATCATGTGCTACTGGTTGACTTTTCATTTCATTTCTTAAAAGATGCTTTTCACTGGCAGGAATGAAAGATAAAAAGCTTTATTCTGTGCTTCAGATCAAAGGGCCTGTACATCCTGAGTGCTCTGAGCCACTGGCATAATGGAGGCAGTTGTACTGAAGACTTTTGCATATTGGGGCTTTTTAAGCCCAGGAGAGATATACCCAGAGCTTATAAATACAATAAAAATGTAAATGCATTTGGCACCATATTACTGATCCTGGCACAGAACCTTACCCTGTTCCTGTAAGTTCAGAGTTTGGAGGTGTTTTATCAATATCACATACAGTCATCTTCTCTTCACATCGATCTTCATCTGCACCATCTTCCTCACAATCCTGGTCTCCATTGCACACAAGAGATCTGCTAACACACTGACCTAAATCAGAACAAAAAATGTGTGGGGTGAAGAGTTGTTTGCTCATTTTAACAATAAATCACCCAAATTCAGAGCAGAAGTCCTGCTTATCTATTAAATTAATTAGCTGGTTCAATCCCGTAATGAACTGTCTGTGCTCAGGAGGGCTTGTGGAACAACCGTAAGTGTAGACATAAAGAACTAATGTATAATATACTTCAGGGAACCACAGCCATACAAGGCTGATACATTAATAAAACAGTTGAATTCTATATTTATTTCCTGAGCTTTCATCCTTTGAACCTATCAGTTGTGATTAACTATGATTATCTCTCTGGCAGCATCAAAACATATTTATTGTGTTTCTCTGTGATAAATATCTACCTCCTGAGACAATGTGCCTTCCTGTGAAGATATTGGAAGGTACTTGGATATGAGGAATCCTTTAAGGAACATTAGTTTCATGACCTAATTGGTTTCCAATATTTTTGGATATAGCCTAGAACAGCTTTGAACAATCACATCTAAGGTTGTATTCCTTAATAATCTTCTTATAATGAAAAATCCGTACTCTAGATCAAATTAATAAGGCAGAATGACTTAGAGAGGCTACCAGGGCTACAGCATATCTGCAAAGCTCTGCAATGCTCCAGATGAAATTAAAAAGGAACAGTCAAGGATGGAAAAAAAGGACACATCCTCCTAAAAAAATTGTCTGTAGGTCTAGAGTTCTACAAAGTCATTGTCCATTTACTGAAGTTCAAAGATAACAAGGCTATCTTCTTCTCTTTATGACCAGAAAATGGTGAAAAGGTCTTGGATGGTACCTGAAGAACATCTGAACCGATCACCACAGCCATCCTCTGTTGGGCATCCCCTTGTGGGGGTGCATGGTCTTGTTTCAAAGGCATCCCCAGAGCAGGGGTTTCCCCCATACTGGCCATAAATGGCTGCTGTCCGTCTCCGAATCTGAATGCAAATTAAGAGAGACCTCAGAAAATCCAAAGCTAAAGCAGGAATAGTTTACTGGTGTCAAGACAATGTTAACATTCTACTGCTCAAAGGAAATGAGGCATTCACTTTTCTATTTTATTTTATTTTATTATTTTTTATTTTATTATTATTTTCATTGTGAACAACCACACTGGGTATTATCACAATATGGCAACAAATACTTAAGTTAATAGGAAGACAACTATTTTATCTATAAGGTCTTTGCCCTGGTACCAAAGCTTGGCTGGTTTGTTCAAAAAGCTAGTAGGTAACTGAAAACAAGAGACAGCTGCTCACAAAATTCAGTTTTGTTTCACATTTAGGATCAATCATGTGTGATAGGAATTTGCTAAAGTTCTTCAAAGTAAACAATGCCATTTAGGAAGATGATAGTTTCTAACATCAAGTGGGCTACTTTTTGCTTCTAAAAAGAATAAGTACTGTCTCATAGCACATCTTCAACTTTTACTAATTCCTCCCTAATTGATGCAACATCAAAATAAATGGAAGGAAAATAAAAAGCATCCTGAGCATCAATAGAGTTGCTCTGAAAAATCATCAACTTGCTTTCCTTGAGACATGAGTCAACTAGTGAAAAAGGAAAAGAATTGATACAAACCAGCATCAGTGGAGGAATATCTCAGATTACTGAATAGTTCCACTGGGTCTTTTGGAACTGTCACCAAAATAAAAAGTGCACAAATGATTTTACAACATGAATATTATAGCTTTGAAAGGGAACATATGTGGGACAGACTGGTGGATTTCCCTTCTGAGTTCTTTGTTTTTCAACCTTCTCAGTCTGCTGGGACTTTTGTCTGACATCTGGTTTGTGGTTTTAAAGATACAAAAGCTCCTTAATTGCTGGGATAAAAAGCATATGCTTATGAAGTCCTGAGTACAGAAGAGGTGTGTCTGTCTGTACCTGTTTTTGAGTGCAGCCATTGCATTCGGACCAAGGGCCAAAGGAATTCCAGTGGCAATGGACTGGATGGGAAGTGCTGCCTCAGTAGTATTATTTTGCATTTTAACAAAAAAGAAAGGGAAAAAAAAATAAAAAGAGAGAGAGAAAATAGTTAGGGCTTTCCATGCACAAGCAATAGTGCAAAACTTTCTGAAGTAGCAAAACAGGCCTTCAATAACAATTCAGTGCATGACCAGTCTCCCTCTAAAACCACTCGCACTTTCTTTTCATGTGTAAGAATGAAAACAGTCCCCGTTAAGGCTTTGGTTACTGACAAGAAGAAACTAGATATGTTCACCTAGTCTGGAGATCAGCAAAGACTTTGTGCAACAATAATACAAGCTTCAAAGACCAGCTTCACATTGTAAAGCAGGGAGAGCCCAGACCACGTCTGGAGATAGGCTGTGTGTGCCATAGTGCGCAGCAGACCTTTCTGCAGCAGCTCTGGAACAGCCAGTTTACCCACGGGAGGCACTGAGGGTGTCACCTGTCCCCAGTCTGGGGCTGGCACAGGGTAAGCTGTGCTGTGTTTCACAGATGGACATTGCTGTGGCTCACACCACCACTGTGCTCTTTTCTCCAGGGGTGGCTGATGTCCCTGGGCACAGGCAAGGGACATCTCAGTGCCTCACACTCGTCACCACTGATGGCAGTGACAGTGCTGACAAGAAACAGTGTCTCCCCTCCCCAGAAGTAGATCTGAAGACTCCTTTAAGCCCTGCCTGACATCATGCACCAGAAGCTGTCTATTAAATTATACATGCTTAGTCTTCAGGATGTAACTTAATAAAAAAGTATTCACCTGGAAAAAATGGGGAGGAAACCTGAAACTTCCAGCAACAGAAAAATCCCCAGCACCTGAAATAACGAGGAGCAAAAGCAAGCTTACTTTGTTTTTCTGCTTTTTCCATTAGCTCATGCAGCTGTTCTAACTTTCTGCAATCTTTACACTAGTCAGCTTAAGATAAAAGGAGAACATCACACTGGTTTTCCTCAGCTTTGTTGTGAAAGTTATTGTTTTCTAGTTGTATTCTTTCTTGCAATATTGCCCAATTACATTTTCAGCTAAGCATTTCTCTGTAAATTGAAATTTCATTGCACTTGCCATATTCACGTCATCAGTATAAATTAAGTAAGCAATTGTCTTACCTTCATGTTAGATGAGATACTCAGATATCCAGCAATTACCAGGGAAATGCACTTCCACTCAATTCAGAAGCCAAAGGAGTCAGTCAGTCTGTCTGCTACTGTATGTCTCTTCTGT